AAAACTTTAGCATAGCATCTTGTGATCACTCTGCCAGGCTTTCGGAGAAATGTGCATAGGCTAAATAACATCATAAACACGCTTATAATTCTTAATAAATGAAAAGAACATATTCAAATATGAGCCTTAATGCGATTGCCGTTATTATTGACTTTCATTAGTCCCAGTTATGATTTATGCGCAGTTGTTCACGGAAAAGTGAGCAAGACACGACAGTTACAATATATTATGATTGTTAAAAAAGAACCATCATAACCAAATTAGGCTACATTTATTGTCATATTAAATATCTCAATACACATCATTAGATATGACATTAAGCACAACTTGTGTAGATTTATTTAGTAAAAAGGCTCGACTGCTTCATTTTGGCATATTTTTATACTTTGACCATTTAATCAATCTCAGCATGCGTTCATTTTGTGTCGCTAGACATTTGCTTCACTAAGGCTAAATTATGCCTTAAGTCTTTCTTTGGCCTGCGCTCTGGAAGTGATCTGTTAATTCTGCTAACCTTTAATTAATTCTGAAACTAAAACTGAAACTAAACTATATAAAAATGTGTTCACAAAATAAAAACTAAACTAAAACTAACAACAATATTAATGAAACTTATAAAAACTAAACTGAATTGTATAGCAAATTTGAAACAAATTTAAAAATTCAAAACTATAATAACCTTGGTTCATTGACAGGGCCAGCGGAGCAAGAAGAAGGTAAGACTCAGAAAAGTTAGGTGTTAATCATTCCTGCTGACCAGTCCTGGATCATTCAGCCTCTTTTTCCCCAAATCTTGGTGGCCCAGTGAAGAGCTCTGTCAGACAGAAGAAATATAATGACAGCAATTTTTGAACATTCTGTGAGGAATTAATGTGGCTGCATCTCCGTGAACAATGAATAATGCAGAAGAAAACTGAAATGGTTACCTAGACAGGAGCGCTGTGATAGGCATTGTATTTCGATACTGTAGGTAGGTAGACATGGAGATGTGGGACAGACATTCTGTCATCATTTACTCACCCTCAAGTTGATCCTTGCAAATCTTTATAAGTTTCTTTCTTTTGTTGAACTCTAATATTTTGAAGGATCTTGAAAACCGGTTGTTGGTCTCCCTCTGATTTCCATAGTATGAAGAAAAAAATACTGTGGAAGTCAGTGGGGAACAGAACATGTTTGGTTACCCACATTCTTCAAAATATATTATTTTGTGTTCAGCAGTTTAGTGACCTAAAGTTTGAAACAACAAGGGTGAGTAAATCATAACAGAATTTTTCTTTTTGGGTGAACGCTCCCTTTATATATGCAGATAGTTTTTCTAGGGAGCGTGAGTGAAGCATGGATGGAGGTGGAAGGTCTGATGGGGCTTTAAGTTGATTTTAACTGAAAATTTATACATTAAATATTTTATGATCTTTATCTACAGCTGCTATTTCACAGAAATCACAATGCTACAATGTAAATAGACTTTTTTTTCTAAATGAAAATTATCAATAGACATTTAAAGAAGCTCTTTAATTTTCTGATTTTTAAACCAATTAATTATCTTTTATAAAAATGTTTATACATGTATCAGTACGTTGTTTACATGTTTAATGTTGAGCATATTCACCACTGATCAGTGGTGTGATCTACAGTCTTTTGGTAAATTATTTTAATAGAGAGAGATTCATTTGCATTGTCAGCACATGCTTCAGTGCTCTGGGAGTGTTTATAGTGCTGTGAGTTTAACACTTCATGACTGAGAGCAGAACAGAACACAATCTTCATCATCACACAAGACAAAACAACAACAATGAACAACATCATCATCCTCATCTGGACACTGACTCTTGGCATTCAAGGTAAATATTTTGTAATTAATTACATTTCAAAAATAAACAATCACATCTTATGTGTCCATGAACCACTAAATCACTAAAATGTCTTATTTCAGAGATCTGGGGACAAGTGACAGTGACTCAGAATCCAGAAATAAAATCCATCAAACAAGGAGAAACTGTTACAATAAAACTGTAAAACCAGTCAGTTGACGTCTAACTGTAATGACTGTGTTTCTTGGTACCAGCAGAAAGCCTGGAGAAGCTCCTAAACTCCTCATATATTACATAAACAGACTTCAGTCAGGAACTCCATCTAGATTCAGTGGCAGTGGATCCAGAACTGATTTCTCTCTGACATCAGTGGAGTCCAGACTGAAGATACAGGACATTATTACTGTCAGAGTTTTCACTACCCGGGTAGCACTAGACTGTTCACACAGTGACAAAGAGTCGTACAAAAACCTCCGTCAGTCAGAGTCACAGTGACTGCACTGATACAGCTGAGAGATACTGCAGCTGCTCATAAACACAATCACACACAACACTGATCAGTGAACAAACACTAATAACACAATTACATTATAATCAACATTAATCTTGTATTTCTGAAGCGAATGAGTCAGTATCGTAATATGATCATCATGTTTTAGATGTAATATATGATCTCTGTCAATCAAACTAAACAGACTACATTCAGTCACTTCTGCTGTCTGGACGTGATGTTTTCCATTTGACCCACAGAAAGATTTACATTCTTAAGTCCCGTTCACACCAAGAACGATAACTATAAAGATAACTATAAAGATAACAATATTAGCGTCCACACAGCGAATGATATTGTCTGTTTATTCTAAGTGCATGCTCGTCTGCTGCTTTAAATTCTCAAGCTCGTGATAGCAGGAATGATTCTGATTGGCTGTCAGTTTTTTTATCGATCATCAGCTGGAGACAAATCATTCTGAAAGTGATTCCAACAATATCGTTTCTCTTTGTCTTTATCGTTATAGCTGTGGTGTGGACTCTGCTATACTTTAATATTGAAAAGGATTTTTAGAACTATATCTTTATCGTTATCTTTATAGTTATCATCCTCGGTGTGAACGGGCCTTTACAAAATTAATGTCAGAATGACTGATTCTTGATTTGTGATTATGGATTTGTTATGATTTTAATTATATATTTTCACTCTCTCCTATTAATGTAATGATAAGTTGGTCTGTGTGCTGCTTGACTACAGCAGAAGTGAAACTGGTCTGTTTCAGTTCAGATCATGAAAGGATTTTTAGAACTATATCTTTATCGTTATCTTTATAGTTATCATCCTCGGTGTGAACGGGCCTTTACAAAATTAATGTCAGAATGACTGATTCTTGATTTGTGATTATGGATTTGAGCCGTCCAGTGTCCAGCTCACCAGCGCCCCCTGTGGAGAGTAAGAGCTGAGCAGGCAGAGCAGTGCGGCTGAGTCTCCAGAGATCTGCAGAGAAGAGGGCGGCAGCAGAGACACTGAGGGCTTCACTGTGGGACCAGCTGCAGGAGACAAACACAACACATTCACAAACACAAAGAAAACACACTGCAGCTCCAGCACTCTTCTGCCCTGCATCACTCACTTCATTTCAACATGACTTTCAGCAGCAGACGTGTGGAATGCAGTAAAAATCACAACAATCTCAACATTCACGTTATTCAACATCAAAACAGCTGATGTAACATAGAATATACAAACTACACAAACACTATATACATATTATACTATATAAATTAAACCTCATAAGATTAAACTAAATGTACAAAGACACTTCTATAATTCCAGTATAATTTCAAATGCAAATTATTTCACAAGCATTCAAAAACAATTGAATCAACAATTCTAAACATTCGTATATTTTTAATATTTTAAGCACAATATGCGCAAAAGAGATTCAACATCATTGAACAACAAAAACTATATTTGCTTTTTGATGACAAATCTCTCTTTTTTCATGTATAATATCTACAATAAAAATGAACTTTATATGATCAGTGTAAAATGGAATGAAAATAAATCTGTGATAAACTGATAAAACTCAAAGTGAGGCATTATGGAAATGTGATTGGACAATAATTGTTTGCTGAGTATATATAATTAGTTTATTTTGAAATTTTTAAGTGACAATAAAATAATTTCAATTAAACATTAAAATCTACACATTTCAATAATTTTGTACAAGACAGTTAAAAGAGACAGACTTACCGAGCACCAGTTTAGTTCCTCCACCGAATGTGTACCACAGTGATACAATCTAATGAAAGACTCGTACAAAAACCTCTATTTCACTCGAGTGAACACAAACTCCAGCAGAGAGAGAGAAACAACACTTCAACACACTGAGAGCAGAAGAAGCTCAGCTGCTGACAACACTTTTCAAAAAGTAAGAACAAAGAAAAATATTTTCAAAATATTTGTTATTGCTTGATAAACAATGACATTATTTTCATAATCTGTGGAAGAATGTATTAATGCTATTTACAATAGACATGATTCAGTTTGAATTCATATTCTATATTTCTCACTCATTCTCCTGTCATCTGCTTGTATAACACAGAAATATATTTGATGAGCTGTGACCTCTGAGGTGACCTTTGACCTCTTTTATCATGGATGATGTTGTGGAGTTTCTCATAAAGATGCTTCTGTTGTTCATATGCAGCTCAATCATTATGATTCACAGACAAAGCTGCTGCTTCAGACAAAAGAATCAAGACACATTTGTTCATGTTACGTGTTTATTAAAGAAAAAAAAAGTATCTGGGCTTGTTGTGAATCTCCAGCTAAAACTTCAAATGAAGAAGTTTTAATCTGTCACCATTTTTAACAATGCTTTCTGTCCATTTTACAATTTCAGGTTCACACGAGGAATCATGATAGAGAGAGACACCATGAACTCTGATTAAAGATTTTCAGTCAGTCCTGATACTTTATGAACAAACTCACAATTCACACTCTTCTTATAGTGGTGTCGGTTCATCTAATAGAATTGATAGAATAATATATTCTGTAACTCTAGTCTAGTATATCTTGTAGCAGCTCAAGCTGTTGTAAATCCTGCCCACTTCTTTGCATTGTCAGCACATGCTTCAGTGCTCTGAGAGTGTTTATAGTGCTGTGAGTTTAACACTTCATGACTGAGAGCAGAACACAACACAATCTTCATCATCACACAAGACACAACAACAACAATGAACAACATGATTATCTTCATCTGGACTCTCACACTGTTTGCTCAAGGTTTGTGTAGTACATTTTTAACGATGATTATTCATTCTCTGAAGTGTAAAATATTACTCATTTACAGTTGTTTCTGAATGTTATTCTTGTTCTTTCTTTCAGAGTGTAGAGGACAGATCACTGTAACTCAGAGTCCATCAATAACAGCAGCTCAACCAGGACAAGAAGTCAGAATAAACTGTAAAACCAGCAGTTCAGTGTATGGTGGTAGTTACTTACACTGGTACTCACAGAAACCTGGAGAAGCTCCCAAACTCCTCATATATTATGCAACAAACCGTTACACTGGAACTCCATCTAGATTCAGTGGCAGTGGATCTAACAGTGATTTCACTCTGACCATCAGTGGAGTCCAGACTGAAGATACGGGAGATTATTACTGTCAGAGTGTACACAGTGGTCCAGTGTTCACACAGAGATAAAGAGTCGTACAAAAACCTCCGTCAGTCAGAGTCACAGTGACTGCACTGATACAGCTGAGAGATACTGCAGCTGCTCATAAACACAATCACACACAACACTGAACAGAGAACAAACACTAATTAGACAGTATAAATAGATAAAGTTTACTGTGACACGTTTTGATATTTACTTGACAAAGCCTTGTTTAAATGTTTAACCACTTTATGTTTGAAGGTTTTTCTGTCACACAGACAGCAAAAAAATCACACAGGTCATCAAAATCTCATACATATAGTTCATTTATCAGCTTACTTAAAACGTTGATTTGGTTGTTTTCTAATCAGTCAGCAATATAATTTTCACTTGATCTGAGCTGAAGTCACAAATTTTCAGTTTGAAATTGAGTTACATTCAAAGTCGAAAAGTATTGACTTTGTCTAAGAAGAATTTAAGAAAGTTTTCACGTAATCAGGGAGAAATCACTAAAAATGCCTTCACTGGAGAGTTTAAAAGAGTGTGAGGTTTCAGAAGCTCTGGGAAGTGAGTGCAGGTTATGATGATTTACTTCCATCGACAAATCTATGGAGAAAGACATCAAGACAAATCCATGAATGCTGATTGAATCCACTGATAATGAGGCTCCATTAATAATAAATGTTAACTAGATTATGTTCACGACCTGTCTAGCAATGCATGCTTATGCTGAAATATAATTAAATAATGATTTGTTTTTGCAAACTGTGTCAATTGTGTGTCACAATGTGTATTGAGTTGGATTAAGGGAACATAGTGAGCATCGATGCTCCTTGGTTTTCACGGTGCATTGTGGGACTTTTTAGGGAACAAATGTTTCAGTGCACTGGAAGGATTTTGTGATTGAGAGAGCCCTTAAAATGGCCAACTCTCTGAACTCGGGAGCTGATTGAGACACACCTGATGTGTTTGTGTTCTAGGATTTTCCTGTAGACATTTGTATCATGTTGCTAGATATTTCTACAATGTTTTAGTATTTTGCTATGGTGTGCAGGTTAGTTTCTACCTAAAAACTGTTTAATTTCAGTAAACTTACAGTTATTATGTTGTAAATCTGTAGCAAACAAAACCGTTTTCAACAATAAATAAATAAATAATTAGGCTTCACCATTCACAAACTCATGGAGGGACTTTGAGAGTCATGCGATCTGTATGGCAAAACATCAACAGTATTAAAGCTGTAAATCGGAATAAAAAATGTCTTGTTATGAGACACATTCTAAATGTTTTGTGCCATCATGTGATACAAAGAGAACAACACCGCAAACATATAATTAATGTATAGCAGGTTAGTAAGGGGACCTGGGATTTGAGTAACACTTGTGCTGTAACATCTGTAACCAGCGCCGGCCCTACATAATAAGCGAAATATGCGGTTGCATGGGGGGGCCACTTGTCAGGGTTCAGACAGTAATGCTTGGTAATAATAACTTTAATAAAGTTTGCTTGAGCCAGTCACGTGTGTTAATATTTGAAAATGAAGAGGCGGCACTATCAGTCTGGTGCAGAGAATGGTTTAGATTTTTAGAGCTTATTTTCCATCTACCAGATGGAACAAAAGCAGCAGCCGGGCTGAATAAAAATGCAAGTTCACTCTCTGACAGCAGGTGGCACTTTAGGAACAGCAGAAACACAGCCGTTACCATGGTTACCCCGTACACAAAGCAGAACTGCGCAAGTGCAACTTTCTGTTTCTGACACGTCACGGAGGTCAAAGGAAGTCAAACAGAAAATATTGAAATATTTCTGTTTCTTGAAATAAAATAGACATTAACTGAATAAAAATATTAAAAACTTAAACTTATTTTATTTTAGTTGACAAGGCAACTTTACTAATTTTCATTTAGTTTATCTTAATGTTCTAAAATAACTAAAACTGAAATAAAAATGAATAACTATGTACACATTTAAAACAAACAAAAAAATAATTAAAAAAAATTCAGAATATCAACAAAAACCATAATAGAACCTCTAAAAATTTATACTAAAATAACATTGCTTTACAGTGAGACGTCAGTGTATGATATGTACTTTGGGTGATGGGGAGCCCTCTATTGAAATTCTGTCTGTAACCCAGTGCAACCTTAAATGTTGATGTAATATTCTCACATTTACCTGCTAAAAATTAAAGTTGTTTTGAAATCTGAAATGTATCCCTAAACTTTGTATGTTAATGTTTAGTACATTTCATTTATTTAATTGGTGAAATGCTATTGTAAAAAAAAAAAAAAAATGTACACATTTAAAACAAACAAAAAAATAATTTAAAAAAATTCAGAATATCAACAAAAACCATAATAGAACCTCTAAAAATTGATACTAAAATAACATTGCTTTACAGTGAGACGTCAGTGTATGATATGTACTTTGGGTGATGGGGAGCCCTCTATTGAAATTCTGTCTGTAACCCAGTGCAACCTTAAATGTTGATGTAATATTCTCACATTTACCTGCTAAAAATTAAAGTTGTTTTGAAATCTGAAATGTATCCCTAAACTTTGTATGTTAATGTTTAGTACATTTCATTTATTTAATTGGTGAAATGCTATTGTAAAAAAAAAATAAAAAATAGTTGAAAAAATAGTTGAACAAATACATAAAACATGGTCAACAATTAAATTACATGATGGACAGTGTGTGTGTGTATGTGTGCACATGTTAGTCACTTTAATTGTGTCAAATGTCAGCTTATAAACTGTAGAGCCATTTTGTTCAGTCTTTGTAGATTCTGTTGAAGCAAATTGAGAAAGTTGTGTTATGAGCCTCCTCGTCTGCTCAGCCAAAATATGTCTAGTGTTTTTAACATATAGGTCAAAGTTGCCAAATATATAAAGCTTATGACCATGGGTAAGAGCTCAGAATTGTGCATATACAGTACTATGTAATAGTTTGTTAGCAGCTCAAGCTGTTGTAAATCCTGCCCACTTCTTTGCATTGTCAGCACATGCTTCAGTGCTCTGAGAGTGTTTATAGTGCTGTGAGTTTAACACTTCATGACTGAGAGCAGAACAGAACACAATCTTCATCATCACACAAGACAAAACAATAAAAATGAACAACATCATCATCCTCATCTGGACTCTCACACTGTTTGCTCAAGGTTTGTGTAGTAAAATCTGATAATTAATATTAATTCTTTGAAATATGAAATGTACATCATTAACAGATTTTTCAAAATATTATTCTTGTTCTTTCTTTCAGAGTGTAGAGGACAGATCACTGTAACTCAGAGTCCATCAATAACAGCAGCTCAACCAGGACAAGAAGTCAGAATAAACTGTAAAACCAGCAGTTCAGTGTATGGTGGTAATTACTTACACTGGTACTCACAGAAACCTGGAGATGCTCCTAAACTCCTCATATATTATACAACAAGCCGTTACACTGGAACTCCATCTAGATTCAGTGGCAGTGGATCTAACAGTGATTTCACTCTGACCATCAGTGGAGTCCAGACTGAAGATACAGGAGATTATTACTGTCAGAGTTACCACGAGATCAACAGTAAATACGTGTTCACACAGTGATAAAGAGTCGAACAAAAACCTCCGTCAGTCAGAGTCACAGTGACTGCACTGATACAGCTGAGAGACACTGCAGCTGCTGATGGGAGGATCACAAACAACACAATGACAATGTTTAGCAAAGTTTAAATAATAATTAATGTGTTAATTTATTGATAAATAGAGTAAATAAATTTACAGGTAGTTACTCAGTTTTTCTTTAAATAACAGTCAGTGCTGGTGCAGAGGTTTTTGATGTGTTTTCATAGTGATTGCTCAGAGTGGTTTCTTTTACCAGAGTTCATGGGGAAAACAACAACAACAACAAAAAACACACACACACAAAAACATACAAACTAACAAGATTTTGTCTATGGTAAAATCACAGCCGTGCTGATATTTAGTACAACTGCACTCTTGATCATGTGATATTGCTTAAATGTGGCAGGATGAAAGAAAACAGTGAAACACATTCAAACTTTTAAAGATAACTTCAGCATGGATCTGTAACTCTAATAGAAATGATAGCAAATTCTGTTTGTAAAATAGCATTATCATAAGATGTCATTTAAGTGTAAATAGCAAAATGAAAGTATTTAATTAGCACTAAGTATAAATAGTAGGTTAGTCTAATGCAGTACACAGAGGTTTTTTAAAATAATAAATAAAAAGAAAACAAGATAAACAACAAAAATAATACATTGTTGTACTGTAATGTATTGTATTGTTTCTAAACATTTAGACAGGGCCGTTTCTAGCCAATTTGACGCCCGAGGCGAAATCCCTTCCCCCCCCCACAATTTTATATACAGTATATATATATATGTATATATATATATACAGTGGGT